GTGCACATACATGGAGTTTAATACAGAAAGCATGCTCTCCACTATGTATACCTTACTTCACAATGTCAAATATATTACTATTACTAGAGTTAGTCCTGGGATCTTGGGATTATTTGGACTGCGGGGTTGGGGGGGGGGGGGGGTTGAGAGGCAAAGAGAATGGGGGAGGGAATTGCCAAGGAAAAGAAAACCAAAAGAAAGAAATGAAACGCAGAAAGTCCCCTTCCCCTACTTTATATCCAGAAAGGTCCCTCAGGACCTACCCATGCCATGTGAATTTTTTTCTGCTGTTTCTTTATTGTTTGATGTACTAGTATTCATTTGTTTATTTATTCGTTCATTCCCTGAGCAGGTGTGGGGGGATTGAAGCCACTGTCATAGTGATGCCACTGAAATCAAATCATCAGGTGACCTGACTAATTTTTTTCTGGCTTGCTCTATCTTATGTCTTCATCTTTTTTTTTGTGGTAAACCAAGGTAATGATATGGTATTTCAACACATTAGCTCCTCCCAAAAGTAACACCTCATTTTTTATCTTTTTTTTTGGCAACAGTTAGCCATCACTCTCAGTGTCTAGGTATAGTATGAATATATGCTTAAGTGTACACCCTACCATCATTTGTTTTAATATAATACAAGTAAGTGTAGTTGGGAGTTTACTGAATTTTGTAAGTATAAGTATGAAATAGAAGAGGTGAGAACAAACTACTGAGGGAAAAGTCACATTTGTTACCATGGACTCACTGGGCCTGTTCAGAACTAGTTGATCCATGGACTAACTAGTCAGCAGATTACATATGTCACCAGCCACTTGAAAAGTTATGCTGAGATTTAATTGCTCTGCCCCTGCGGGGCCGTAGCAGTAGTCCAAAGGTTCAATAGTCCGAAGGTTCATTGGTCTGAATGCTCACCATACAACCTTCATACCAATGAATCCCTGATTAAAAAATTGATGTAAATGTTAATTACCGTTTCTCAGACCAATGAACCTTCGAACCAATGAACTTCTGGACTTTTGAGACATCCCCCGCCCCTGCAGGGAGGGCATGTGTGAGAGGTGGGAATCCATTGTAAAGTGTGGGCCATATATGATCCACAGACTAGTTAATCCATGGATCTGCTGGTTCTGAACAGGTCCACTGAGTGTACTAGTTGGTGTAACTGTTAGTAGTTCTGAACCAGTATTTCTTTTGTACTTTTACTGATACAGTGAACTGATTTGATAAAACTTGACAACAAAATTAACTAGATATTATGTGCATGTATTTGATATGTACATGTAGAGAGTTTTTTAAAATTTATGTTGGTTACAAGAGCTCAAGATTAATGTGAAAAAATTAGGTTATGATTGAAAAGGTTTTTTTTTTTCTTTTAAAAACTGCTAGATCACAACAATAATGGTCCAGCATTACATTATTTCAAAACAAGAGAAAACTGTAATCTTGAAATTACAGAAAATTCATCAGACTGTATCTTGAAGTTCTAAATACATTAATGCTTTAATACATTGAATAATAAAATTGAAGTCCAATTTGTTTGGAATTTCTAAAATTGGAGTGTATCTCAAAGTTTGAGATGCCACAATACCATAACAATTGAAAGGAAATGGAGAGGCAATTTTTTGCATAACACAAACACAGTCATTGCTACTAATCCAGAGGTGGGCAATTTAGTGTAAATCATGCATTTAATGATTATACACACACACAGGGAATTATGATCTAATGCCAGACACAGAGGAAATATAACACTCAGAAAATCAGGAATATTAATGATGAATGTTAGGTTCCATTACTCATCCAGAAAAGGTCCCAACAATGTAACCACTTGTAGCTATATTCATATACTTTCAGAAAAAGTAAAATGAAATACTTTTTTGAAAAAAAAAATGCAGAGGTTTTCAACCATTTATTCTACATCATGTAAATTACATGCATTAAGTACCAGAATTTTTTTTTATATTTAGTAAATTCTTGAGGTGTGTGTTTGTGTATATGTACATATATGTGTGCATGCATGGGTTTGTTTATCTGCATGTATTTGTGTGTACTAGTATGTGTGTGTGCAAGATGTGTGTGTGTGCACATGTGTGTTGACAGCTCAGAAGACAGTTCAGTGGCATATATTAAATCATGGTTTCTGTATTACTTAATTTTACCAACTTTTTGAAGTACTGCATTGTTGGAGTAACATCTGGCACAGTTAGGTAGTGGTACTAGTATATTGTATTAGTAACAGCACTAAGCAGGAGATATTTCTGTATTGCTGAGGCTTCAGTGTATGTGAAAATCTAATGCAAAGAGAGTGGAGAATGACATGGAAGGCCTGTAGCTGGTGAGGGGGGGGGGGCAGGGGGGGGTTCGGGTGCTTTGAACGAACTGCCCTTTTTGCCTGCAAAAGGTCCTCTCTGGGTAAAAATTAATCCACATATGCAAGTACATGAAGATTTTAGGGTAAAGTTCCACTTTTTCAGAAAAAGAACCCCCCTTTTGGAATTGCTGGCTATGGCCTGCGTGGCATTATTCCATGAGTTTCAAAGTAGCTATAGAAGTTGAGAAAGTATATTATAAGAAAGTATGTTTTTTATTATACAATAAAACTTGGTTTTTATTGATGTCTTTTGTTTACTTGTATCAGCACTTGACAGTATAGCACAATAGCAATATCTGGCAGATAAGAAGAGAAGAAAACCCTTTAGATTTCAGTAATTTAAAAATTATAGTATAGTATATATATATTCAAAGAAAATTAAAAGGACACTACCCAATGGGCTTGACCTCAACATATTAAAAATACATTGTCATCTAGACTGGACCTGAGGTATGTATGGATATATGTAACACACCAGGAGTAGAAATTAACCTGGCAAATTACAGAGCTCTCCCCGCCAGTCACATATTATTTGGCACTTACTGTATGGTAGGGTTAATTCTAAGGATAGGGAGTGAAAGGTAATTTCATGGGTAGTTAATTGTGACCCAGAGGCTTCTCTCTTAAGCTTCTTTGGCAAAGAGAAGTTTGGAGGATGTTAGAGCTTAATTTCCTTTCAGAAATACCGAGGGCATGGTAGTATATTCAGATTTGTTTTATCTGAAAAAAAAAAGATGTAATTATGTTATAAGTTTTTAAAAGGTGCATTTTCTGGATTATTTTGATAGTAAAAACAGGTGAAAGAGATCATGGGCAAAGCATATGGCATACATGCATATTGATGTATAATTCAATTTCCTTGGACATACTATACCGATACATACACCTGAGCACCTGTACATGTATTACATACATATAGTGCAGCATCAGTTATGAGGTAAGTGCAAGAAAAGACTTCATGAAATTTAAGAAGTGTTAAGTGTTAAGTGTTAAGTACATGTTTGTTTGCTTGCATGTGAAGGTAAGATGGGGACTTGCTAGTAGACAGGATTAAGTAAAAAAGGTTATTGTTGAAAAAATTAGTCCACATGTTAGAGTACTACATGTGTGTACTGCAATAAATGAATGAACAAGCAAATAAATAAGTAAATGAATAAACAAATAAATGTTATAATATTGTTGTTGATAAAAAAAAAGTAACTGTTACTGGGACATCAAAAATCTGCCCAGCCCTTTTCTCAAGCAACAGCAAGATTTCATTTAATAATTAGTTTTGACACAAATATTTTGCCCCTTAATCAGAAATAGTAGATGCATTGATTTTATCCTCTGTTGTATTTTTTTCTCTGTTTGAGTTAGACAAGTTTTGCTCACAGTATTTAATGAGCATGGAGAGTATAACAAAATGTTTATTTATTATATTAGTATTAGCGTGTAACAGGTTAGAGAGAATATTGCATGTAATTCCTGTTGCCTGAATTTGTTGATAGTCCAAATCAAGTTCAGTTTAGTGAGAACATATGTTGATACTCTTGACACGACACATTGAAGATGTGACAAATATCACGACTTACTACCCAACTACCAGACTCAGCACATACGGATCCTGAATCAACCGGTATATCGGTATGTGTCAGATCGCATTTCGGAGTATCAGTCAGAACACCGACAGGATGAGCCCGCGGTCGTCCTACAAAATTTGGTCTGGGGTATGATACTCCAAGATGCGATCTGACACACCTTGAAAATGGGTAGTGTGGTCTGATATACCAGTTAATTCAGGATCCTTATGTGCCAAGTCTGGTAGTTGCCTAGGCCTGTTACTGTAACAATACTTGAAAATTTTCAGATTATACTGATGTCTTCTTGGTTATTTGGTGACGAAGAAAAAACTTGCATATTTTTCTGGTGTGCCACTATCATATCTGCTGATTCCTCAGCAGCACAGTTGGTTTTAAAAGAAGAGTTCTCACTTCTTAGTTTGAGATCTCACTTCGTAGAGTTAGTCTTTTACGTACTTCTACTGTAACACTGGATCATTGGTTCCTTTCATTTTAACTGAAGAACATTTAAATTCAGGATTTTTCATTTGAGGTACCAGACCATCAAAATTTATTGACCATAAAAATGCTTCTATACAGTGTATTTATGTGTGAATTTCAATTTAAACAGTATAATCCTAAATATATAGTGAACCTCCCAAAATAACAGGGCAGATGAAGAAGATCACCCAAGGGGTGGGGCACTAATGGCAGATTAATTTATAATGGTTAGATTCAGTTCTCATAGACTTTTTGATTAGTTTATAATAGGAATTTCTGGAGAAAATGGGATGTGAAAGTAAAAACCTCTTAACAGTAGGAAAGAAATACCATTGCAGAGAAAGTATACGCATGAGTTATGTAATGAACAGCAGGCATGTGTGACTCAACATTGTGAGTAATTCAGTATTGGACAGGTGGGATTTGTTCAGTGTTTTTGGTGATTTAGTTTGACAAAGAAAGATATTATATGTACTGGTACATGTGTTTAAGAAATTGCAAGCTTTTGCTTATGCCCAAGGCATTTATATAGTTCCTTACAGAATCTTTTTTTTAAGAAACTTAATTCTATTATTTTTCTGTTGCAGGTAAAGTCAACTGAGTATTGGCAATCATTTTCTGGTGCCTGAAGTCCTACTAGTGAAAACAGAAAAAACATTTGCCATAATATTTTTAGAATGCAACAGTAGCAGTGCTGACAATACATGAAGTCACAGTTTCTGGTTTTTTGCCAGACTATATTTCGATCAAGATGACGGATTTATCAGGCAGTGATATCGTACCATCTGGGACATAACAACATCTGTGATTTGGCATTAAAAAAAATAGAGCATCCAACGACTCTTTATTCTTCTTGTCCAAAGGTGTTCTTTATACTTTTGACGTGTCGTAGCAGCTGGCTTCCTTAATATTGTGCTTTAGAAGGAGAAAAGTTCAAGGGATTGGGTGTTCAAGCGGTTGAAAACATTTATGCCCAAGGATTAAGAAGCATGGTGAAACTTGTGTAAGTACATTGCTCACCGTCTTTATTTAAAAGAAATACAGTTTACATATATAAAGCTGTTTTATACCATACATGTAGCATTCTATAAATGTGGGTTTTAAAAAGTTAATCATTTTTACCTTTCAGACATTTGAAAGTAATGTCCTCACTATTTGAGCCTATCAGAAGCATCTGGATCAATGTGTTTTAACATTCATGAATTTAATTTCATGGGGATGTTCAAGATCTGAAATCTTAAATTGCAGCTCACATTCATTTTTATCATCTCTTTCACTGGAATGATTCTAATTCACTGGATAAAACATTTCAGTGTAATATAAAACGAGTTATGTTTCTCTTTTGATGACCTCCTAACTTTAACTGCAAAAATGAAGAAAGAAAATTACAAAGGTTGAATGCAATTATTTTTCAAATTAATGTTATTTGGTATTGGCCATTATCATAACAAGTAAAAGAAGTAAAAAAAACTATCACATAAAGATTGCTTGCAGATACTTAAGTACATTCCATCCAAAAAAAAAGGACTTACTATAAGGGGAAATAATTAATTTGTCTTTCAATTTAAATTTATATCTTCAGATAACTCAAGATAACATTCTTAAAGAGGTTTGTCAACTTTTAAATTGGCTTTTAATCCACAAAGAACCTTTTTATTTTGAAGGGTGGGGTTAACACATGACATCATGCTGTGTGTTAATACCCTGTTAATTAATCATTTTTTCAGCTGGACACAGAAGCTGTTTCAAATCGGCTATGAAAGGAAGTTAGAAAACATCGACATTTATGATGTCTTGCCAGAGGATTCCTCCATAAAACTGTCAAGTGATTTGGCAAGGTATGTGTTTACATGTGTTGTGAAGTTGTTTTAACGTCTTACTCAGGTTTTTGGCAGTGACTCACTTTTGCAGAGATTTTTTTCTTTACCCACATTGTAAACCTTCCATTTGCCATACAAATTGATTAAGGTGGACCTGACCAATATTGTTTGAATGTTCTGGTAGTTAATACAGTTTCTGTACCTGGGTATCGCCCTGAGTTTCAGAGCTTAACTTAATACTAGTCTCTATAATCACTGGAGACAGCAGAGTTATACTGACACTGTAGGTGTATCCAGTAGTCCCTAGAAGTCAGGGTGGCTGGAATTCATGTGACAAGCAGTTTTCTTCAACAAGGTGCCACTTGTTGGATTTCCTAGTGGTATAATACAATTAAACAACAAGTAACTACTGCTTATAGTTACAAGAAACAACACTAATTGTATATTTCAAAATTTCAAGTTATTTTAGAAAAAATTGCATGCATTTATTAATTGAATAAAGAATGGTACATACTTCTGTTGCATGCAGCAAACTGAGCCTAATATGGTAATATACATGTACTAGGAATTATACATAATTTCCCCACAGTACTGTGATATACTTCTATGCTTAATTACTAACACTGAGTGGAAGAATTGACAGTTTAAGGTGCATGAATCAGATTTATATTTTTTGCACCTAATGACACCCTTTTCCATTGCCTTAGGAGCAGGATGATTACAATACTTCATACCAATTAGCCACTGTGTCAGTATTTATTTAATTGTACTGCGATTTATTTTCAGTTGTGTGTAAACAAAGATGAACTAGGAGCATTTTAAGTCAGTGTCTTTCAAAATTAGAGAAGAATTCAGTGTCTGTGTTTTGCACTAAGAACAAGACAGTAATTTTTCTTCAATCAGCAGCTGATATTTAAAATGTTTACCCACCATATTACAACGTCAGTTGGAGAAGGATGCTTTGGATAAACAATATTAATTAAACAAACACTTATTTTGCTGGAAAAGGTCCCCTCTGTACCAAAATGTGATCCAAGGGCTATCCCATGCCACATTTCTCAAGTTAAGGCAACTAACTGGGTAACCCCCCCCCCCCCACACACACACACTTTTTTTCAACCTGCTCCCCCCCTGTGAAAAATCTGGCTGGTAGCCAGTGTCGCCCTGTAACAGATGGAGTTCTACCTGTATGATGTAAGACACCAGGTGATTGCTCTCGCTATATACACACTACAAGTCAACATGCCTTGAATTATAGGCTGACTGTCATGGTATTTGACGACGGGTATAATTATTGGAACCTTGGTGTGATAATTATGCTGATTTTATCCTCCCAATAATTATTTGTGTTTAAATCTTTCTTCTGAGTTGTGATTACTGATGGCAAGGTATACTTACTGAGAAACAAGTAACCACTTGCTCACTATATGCCACTAGTAGGGCGGTAGAGAGCTCACATTCCAGTGAAGTAATAATGTAGTTCAACTCTTTACATCAGAAAAAGATTCTTGTTAGATCTAGCTAGGTTGGGGACTAGAAATTCCTTGCTGCTTGTTAAGTAGTTCAGATACATGTACAATTGTAGTGTCAGGGTCAGCTGGGGAAGGATGGACTTAATCGCCTGAGAGTGTGATCTGTTACATGTTTACTCTAATAATACTTGTTAAAGGCACATACTAGTTTAAACACATGAAAATACAAGTTCTACAGACCCTATTGTACAAACTGTGGATCGATCTATCTCTGAGGGGATTCTGGCTAAATTGTTATCATCGTAAGCGGCTTAGATGTCTGTCACGCCTACTGAAGCTGCTATAGGGGGTAATTAATTATAGTTTAAATTAGCAGCTTCAGTAGATGTGTCAGACATTTTAGACTGCATTCCCACAGATTTTTAGATCGATCTATCCCCCTGGGGAGTCTCACTAGATTGGTGTCAACTTAACTGGCTTAAATGTCTGGCTTAAAAGCTGTAAGGGGGTGATTAACTATAGTGCACGCTCAACTGACAGCAATTTAGCGTGAACCCCTAGGGAGTTAGGTCGATCCAGATGGATCGATCTTAATCTCTGGGAATGCAGTCTAAGTCGCTTAAGCTGAAAGCAATTTAGCCAGAAACCTCTCACTGATGGATCGATCCTGTTAGATCGCTCTAGGTATGGGAACCCAGTCTTACAGATGTACAGACAAATGTTCATTTCAAAATTTACAACCTAAGTTTTTATATCGTTCCTTTTAATTCAAAATCAAAGAAGCCAAGAGTGTACGTGCGTCCCACCTTTACATGATAATACAGCATTTAATAACATCAAACTTCCATTAACAGAGAAAGCAGTCTGAAGGATATGAAACCTGGAAATAATACCAAAAAGCAAACTGTAAATTTGTAGGGAAAACTTCCAGTGGTTCTGACAAGTAAAAATTTTCTAATAATTCAATCAGTTACTGGTGATTGATGGTCAATGATATAGGGAACAAGTTCAAGTTGTTCGACAGCTTAATTACTCTAGACCCTGCCATCAAACTGTGTACTTTTAAAAAGGAACTTTTATTATACTTATAAGTACACCTCAATCAGTTTTGTCTAGAAATGCTTTCAAGCTTTTAATTCTAGGGTTCTGATGCTAAAACAATTCTTGGGTTTCAGTATTTACATATGAAATCGCCATTCCATGCCATTAATGTGGCAATCAAAATCACTTATCTGTGTCTCCAAGTCATAAACAACAATTATCATCTATTGGGACTAGTTTTATCTTTTTTTTCCTTCTGTTCAAGGGAATGGGAGAAGGAGCTGTACAAATGGAGGTCAGGTACAGGCCAGCCCAGTTTGCTAAGAGCACTGTTCAAGTGTCATGGATGGTCAGTCTTTGGGCTCACAGGACTCTTACTGTTATTAGAGGTAATTGATTAAAAGTGGTCACTAAGGAGAACTTCATGTAATTTTTCTGCAGTATGTTTTATTTTCATATTTGATGACCATTACTTATATTGCATTGATTAATTGATAATCATAAGAAAGCACATGCAATAAGATTCAATAGTTCATTTGTCAGAATCAGAATACACCAAAATAAAAAGGGTCTTACATCTCAGGATTATTTTCTAGGAAAGCCTCAGAGTTATCCAGACAGTTCTCCTGGCTTATGTCCTCTCCTATTTTGAGCACACGAGTGCTGTGTCCAAGTTGCAGGCCTATATCTACGCCACGTCTTTCTGTTTGGCCTATATATTTGCATCTCTCCTGGACCAGCCTGCCTTCCACAACAGTTATGTCAGAGGACTCCAGATGAAGGTGGCATGTTCTTCTTTAATATACAGAAAAGTGAGATATATGATGGTTTATTTAATTTCTTTATCATGATATCATAATGCTGTGATAAAGGCACTTGTTTTTAGGGACCACAGAAATGGTAAATAATTTAAAATATCAATTTTGAAAAATGTTAATGGTAAATTATTTCCCAATTCTGTGCCCCCTGGCATTGTGAAAAGGGATATGAAGTTTTTAGATTACACTGTATATTATAGGACCTCTGTCAAGGACGTCCATGTTTTTGAAACCGCTTGGGTTACTAGTACTGTTACAGTAGTTAAATTGGCATTCCATTGCTTAAATTACCACTATGTTAGTAAAAGTAAAAAAATCATGGTTTTCACTGGTGGTTGTACAACAATAAAGATGTTTTACTTTATATTTTAGGTTCTGCGACTACAGAATATTCATATAAATAGAGATACAAGTGGTGACATAGCAAGGCTCATGTCAGAAGAAGTGCACAAATTTAATTTAGTGAGTTTTCCAACCATGGATTATTATTTTTATCTGAATAGAAGGTTATATGTGTTCATTTGCAAACTTGATTGAAACTTTTAAGACTGTTCTTTATTGTCAGATGGTTGTCATTTTTTAAATCTGCCTTTAAATATTATTCAAACTAACATTCAAAATCTTTTTAAGTTTGAAACGTGAAGAAAGAAAAAAATCCAGAATAAAGCTAATAAAAGTAAATGTCGTGAGTAAATCAATTTATAATAATAATGTTATACAAGCTGTGTATAAATCACCATGGTGATCAATGTCGTGCAGTATTCCACCCTAGCAGACGGTCAGAAAGCAACCTCAGATATACTTGGTGAACCTGTACATATGGAACAAGAACTCACAGGCGATTTTATGACACAGGCTGTTAGCAGTATGACCAGCTGCTTTCATTTTATTTGCAGGGCATTAATTAGTGCAATTTTTCAGAAAAGTATATGGTTTCTTAGACCCCATTTCCAGAGATTAGATCGATCTACTTTAGATCGACCTAACTCCCTGGGGGTTCACTCTAAATAGCTGTCAGCCGGGCAGACACAAAAGTTAATTACCCCCTTACAGCTTGTAGTAGGCGGGATGGACATTTAGGCCGGATTATCTGACAGTAATCTAGTGAGATTCCCCACGGGGATAGATCAATCTAAAAGCTCTGGGAATACAGCCTTAGAAAATGAATTTATGACACAACTTTGAAAAACTTTTTTTTATTTTGGTTTACTCTTAAAGTTTTTAGTTATTGTAATGCATCTCCTTATAATGCAATTTTTTATTATAATCCCAGAGTGTAATAGCCATAAACTACCTGTGGATAGGTCCACTTCAGGCTCTGGTGATAGGCTGGTTGCTATGGCAACAGGTGGGCTTGTCTTGCTTACCTGGCCTGGGACTTTTGCTTGTCTTGGTGCCATTACAACTCTCCATGAACAAAGTATTTCATAAACTCAGGTAATGATTTGTATATTTTATTTACCCTAACCAAAACCTATCATCTTTTATCTTGGAAATGTAGCTAATCACAATGAGCTTGACAGCATATCAAAGATAATAAAGCGAGTGTGTTTGTGTGTGTATGTGACTGTGCTTTTTTGTGCATTTGAGAAAGAGAATCCAGAACTATCTCAATCTATTTTGACGTGTGTGTGTCTGTTTGTGTGTGTTTGTGCAGAGGGGGGAAGGGCGCTGCAGGTTCTTTTAAATGTAAAATGAAATATAAATACAATTATAAAAAGATGCAAGAAACAATGTCACATTGTTTGAATGAAATTATGTTAGGCCACACTTTTTTATTTTTATGGATGACATCCTCTGGGTACCCCAAAATCGGTGCGAGAGGGCGAAAAAA